AATAGGACGGTTTTCTTATTCGCTAAATAAAAGTGACTTCTGTCAAGTTTGCAATTATCAAGCTTTAAACAAGACAATTTTTTCAAAACTTGGCAAAAAATGTGATAGATCCTGTTTTGAAATTTCAAAACGTTTTACTCTTATTAAGGACAATTTCTACTCCCTCCGTCCCAAAAACAACTTCATAGTTTCACATTCACACAGATTAAGAAAATAAATTTGACTTTAATGTGGAGTGCACTGTTTTGCACTGTTTAAATATTTTTTGACACTGTTTTGATGTAGATAATTTGCCAAATGAGGAAAATATTGAAGTATGGAATTAATTTTGGGACATCCATTTAAGGAAAGTGAGAAGTTGTTTTTGATACGGAGGGAGTATTAGATATATATGGAGCTATTTCTGTATTTAATTTAGCATTTGTACGTTAATTAATTATTTGTAAATTGTAATGTAATGGTTGCATTAATGTAGGGGGAGAAGATAAAACAGATTGGTTGAGCTGTTTCCTAGTTGTGGCTAAACATTGGGTATTTGGGTAGGTCGGTAGATAACGCCTGATGACTCAGCAAAGGTTTGGATTGTCCGGCCAACCGTATGCTGATTTCAAGGCAGGTACTGAACCCGTCGAAAGAAGGACGACACTAGAGAAGTTAAATACTGAATCCGGCTTCTCCCGTAAAAAAAAAGTTAGGGTGCATTCGAGTTGTGGAATGTAGTGATACATTCCACATGTGACTAAATATAAGTGGAAGCCATTCCACGCAAGCAATTAATTTTATGTTTTTAGAATTTTGCGTAGTGAACCCTATACAACAAAATATTCATACGCGGTTCTTTTCGCATTGCTATTTGCCAGTTCTTGGCATTTTTTCCTTCAGATTCCCAATCGTCTCCTCATTTCATTTTTCTCTGTTCTGACAGCAAACATGCTCCTAAAAATCCGATAGAGAATTCACCTTTAGCTAGGTTAGAAATCTGTTTGAAGATTGAGATGCCTAAGTCATGTGTACATCTAAACTCAGCTTTATACAATCATCTCCATAAAAAAACTATTACCAGGTAAGATTAAACACCCTTTTATTCTCAAGTTATGTGAAACAAAAAAAGAAAGAAATTCGTTGGGATAAAGGAACGGGAAATCATTAGGGGATCCAATTGGGAATGAAAATTTTCATAGGAAATTAGGTATTCATTAAAATTTTCTTAATTCCCTACTTGGATTAGTTGTTTGGATTAGTTGACCTCTTTCTCTCAAGTACCTAGTGAAAGAATGGTATGAACTCACAAGCTATTTGCTCATTCTCATATGTTTTGTAGTTCTTCCTATCTATCATGTCATTCTCACTTAAACTGAAATTTGTATGACAATTATGAATTGATTATGAGATGTCTGTTATTTCAAAAGTTTATGATGCTAATTGCTATGGAAATTTTATGATGATGGTTGTGTAAGGTGTTAGAGACAGTTTCTTAATTTATTTTAGGAAACGCATCTTAGTTGCCTTGGGGTAACCCAGACCCATCTCTGCCTCCATCCCTTGAAGGAATCAGGGTAGGATTTGACTTCAAATAAACGATGGCCGACCCGCTGAGAGATGGATAGGTAGCCTGGAGATTAAGAACTACCGGGCCTCACAGAGTGGAAGAAATGAAGGAAGAGATCGATAGAGGCATGAATCTTCAGATGCATACCCCGGACAATAAACCCGGCAATGAACATGTGAGTAGTGGGAGGAAATTGACCAGTGATTACCCCATAATAGCCCAAGACACCAAGATAAGCGCCATGTAAAGGGAACCTGAGACCTACTTGAAGACTTGTGGAGTGGACTCCGAAATGAAGGGAGTAGGGGGTTCGACGATGTTTTGACCCGGAAGAGGGTGAGAACAAATTACACTTGGGCCCGCCAGGGCTACAACTTCATTGGAATCTGTGTCAGAGAGCACCATAGCCGGAACTTTCTGGGCGTGTTCGCGAGAGAGAAAGAAATGGGTCTCCACCCCATCGGCGTCAACCGGAATTTGGGGCCGATTCGAGGCAGTCCCGTCATCCGGAAAGACCTGGTGAACAGGAATGGAGTTTGAAGAAGACATGAGAACTGACCTGAGAAAATGAAGAAGACGGGAGAGATTCTTCGAAATCTAGGGTTCCTCAGCAAGGAAACAAGGCGCTGATGCGGAAAAGATTTGTGCGAAAGTTTAGTTAGAGATGGAAGCCGAGGTTTAAATAATCCCAAGGGGTTAGGCTTTGAAAACCGCTTGGGAATCAAAATAGGGCACTTGAGTGCTCTGAAAAGAGGAAAAGGTGGGTTGAAAGGCGAGCCGGGCTGCAGGCCTACTTCGGCACAATTAATGCTATGTGACGCTACAGTTGCCTATGAACATTCGGAATTCAAAATCCAAAAAACTGCTCCATTTTACTCCTCCAAAATCCAGCCCTGCTAATTTTGAGGAGTAGGGGGCTCGAAATGGTACCATGGACTCGGACCGTTGCCCAATTACGTAATTCAGCCCATTACAGGATCAACCCTTAAACGGGATGATGGATAGTCTACCCGGGGGTATCTTATCCGAGGGGTTATTGCGGGAATAACTTAGAGAGAAGTTAGAGTAAATAGGAGGAGAGAGAGTCAATTTTATTAAATGAACTCGAAAAGTGTCATCTGGGATCGTTTACAAGGAGAATTGGGCTGCTATTTATAGCAGCAATACATGCGGTGAGAGTACACGTGTCAATAATCTGACGGCCGAGGGGTCACATCAATCGGGTGGCACCGGCAGTGGCATGTTCACCGCATTGAATGTGGTGGGTGGATGTGACGTTGCATTAAATGCGGTGGTTGGCTGTCTCCAGAGGGAATCTTCGATGATTGAGCGTTTTTAGCCGAAGGTAACTTGCGTAGCCGAAGGCGCCATGTGACCAAAGGACCCCTGTGTAGCCAAAGGCCTTGTGTGACCGAAGGTTTGGTTCAGCCAAAGGCTTCTCTGATACCGAGGGCTTGATAATGCCGAAGGCTCATGTTTTTCGCCGTTTTCTCCTAGTAGCTTCTTATGCCAGAGAAGGCTATCCTGTGAGATTCGTAGCCTTCGGCCAAGGAGGCCGAAGGCACCCCAGTGTGTATTCTGGGCTACTTTGAGGCTTGGGCCGTTACATTCGGGCCTGAGTTGTTCTCTGGGCTCGATGGACTTGTGTAGGAGAAATAGGAGTCTATGGGTCGGGGGTTCCTGGGCCATATACTCCATCAGGAGTCCCTCACTCCTTTTGCCGAAAGGTGCTTGAGGGAAAAGGAGTAATTGTGTTGCTTCTCCCGAAAGCTTCATCGTTTTGTTGGGTGCCTTTGACCGATCACTTATCTACTGCTGTTAGCCGAAGGCTTCCCTCAGTCCCCCACATGTCGAGGGTTTTCTGAGGGAAGCGTAAATAATATCTGTATGTGTTGTGATGAAGGCTCCTTCATCATTGTCAGTGACTTTGTGGAGAGTTTCTGACATTCTGCTTTGCCGAAGGGTGTAATGGTGTATGTACCCGAGGGCTACATGCGTTATTTGTAGATTTCTTGCATGTGGGAATTTTTGTTTTTAGTCATGTGTGATTCCCGAGGGGTGTATCCCAGGAGTCCCTCACTCCTTTTGCCGAAAGGTACTTGAGGGAAAAGGAGTAATTGTGTCGATTCTCCCGAAGGGTGGCAACATTGACAAGTAGAAGGCTTATACTGCTGAATTCTTGAAGGGTTCTGGTGAGAGTTGTTCACCGAAGACCATAATAGGTGGTAGCCGGAGGCAGTCACTTGGGGGAGCAACATTGATAAGCCGTAGGTGTATGTTGCGGGTTGCTCGAAGATGCTTGGCGACATACGTCCGCCGAAGGCTCTCACCAATAATAGCCGGAGGCTATCGTCTGAGGTTGCCTCAAGAGTTCCAAGATCGAGTCATTGGAATATGACCGTTGGAGGTGGGGTCCACGTGGCGTGTTCCTGTTGGTTGAAGGGGGGCGGGTGCCACCCATAGGCTGAGGCGGCGGCCCGTAATGATGGGCTTTTCAAATCGAGGCCCGGTTCTCGAGGCCCATTTGCCTATAAATACTCTGAGCCTGAGCTCATTTGTGCTTGCGCGATTTTGAGAGATAATTCGATTCTAGAGAGAAAAAGTTTCCTTCGATCAACCCAAGCTTTCTGAGGTCAGTTCCTCTTCTGTTGCTTTCTTCCTTAACACACTTTGCTACACCTAAAGTCTATAAATACTTCTTGTAAACACCCTACCGGGAGGATCGGCCATTGATTATTCGGAATAAGAGTAATACTGCCTTACGCTGTCACATTCTTCGATATTTTTCATACCTTTCTTATATGTTTCATAGATTTAGCTCTCGTAGTTGGATTAAACTCCATCTATATATATATATATATATATATATATATATATATATATATATATATATATATAGAGGGCTGTTCCTGTACATATGGATGTACAGGAAGCTCCGTACGGACAAAGCCATTAGAGGCCCTTCCGGGTGGAATTTTTTGATAAAATTTTTTTAGCATGTTCTTCATCAAGTCTAGTTTATCCATACCAAATTTCAGCTCAAAATTCGATCGGGAAGGCAGTCAAATAAATTCTTGAAGTATACTGCACATTATATGTGCGCAGAATGCACCATTTATTGCAAGAATTTATTTGACTGCCTTCCCGATTGAATTTTGAGCTGAAATTTGGTATGGATAAACTAGACTTGATGAAGAACATGCTCAAAAAATTTCATCAAAAAATTCCACCCGGAAGGGCCTCTAATGGCTTTGTCCGTACGGAGCCCCCCGTACATCCATATGTACATGATCATTCCTCTATATATATATATATATATATATATATATATATATATATATATATATATATATATATATATATATATACTGAAAAGTTAAGCACCAGAGCTTGATAATGTTAGGAACTTAAGCACACGGTTTTCATGTTGATAACTTTTTTTTTTTTGGATGAATGTAAATATATATTAGCACCCAAAGAAAACTGTACATCCAAGAAAACTAAGAGCTAGATCTCCCAAAACCCCCCCCCCCCCACCCCTACCTAGTGTAGGGGTGAAGAGAGGTTTTTATTCGATCTATATCTAATTCCAAAAATCAGAGGCCTAAGTATACAATACTAAATGCCTCAAACATCAAAAATAATCGGTGCTGCCAATATGCACGCACACAGATCACCTCAAAGTCATAAAATCAAAAAAATAGCCATCGTGTTATGGGTTGCAACCATTCAAGTCCAAGTCGTATGCCGCGGCCTCACTAATGTTCTCTCACATATCCAAACTTCAAAATCCAATCAAGTCATGTGGGTATAGAGAGTACAATATTTTGTACACCACATGCTTTATCTTTGCGACGATCTCTTCTTCTTTTGGCATGCTTCCATCAAATCTACACGCATTCCTAGCCCGCCAAACGTAGTAAACCGTGGCACAGAACGCCAATCTTGTTGCCTTCGCCTTTAGCCTTGAGCCTTTATGTTCCTTCATGATCCACTTTATTGAGCTCAAAAGGGTGGTCATTTGGTGGCCAAAACCCATCCAATTTCTAATTTGACTCCATACCCTTCCTGCAAAAAGACATTGGAAAAATAGGTGTGGAATTGTTTCCAATCCACCCTTACACAAATCACATCTGTTAACAATATATAGGTAACCGAGGCTATCCTGTGTAGGAAGCCGGTTTCGCAAAGCCAACCATACGTTAAAGGAAAACTTTGGGGGGACATAGGATTTCCAAATGAAGTTCATTGTAGTCCTAGTCTCACCCTTTACCCTTAGAAGATCATATATTTTTCCCGAGACTAATTTCCCATTTATGGCCCTTGAATTGAGGCCAAGGATGGTATCATTCAAATTGTTAAAACATCCCTTCAGTTTGTCTCTAATTAGACCCAATCTCTTCATTAGTTGGGAATCCCGGCTGTGTGGGACAAAGTCCCACACACTTCTACCTTTGAGGTAGACACCATTGACCCACTTAACCCATAAGGTATCTTTTTTGTTATGAACGTCCCAGATAAGGCGTGAAAGGAGTGCATGGTTCCAAACTTTCGCATTATGGATACCTAGCCCACCTTCGGCCTTTGGTAGGCATATATCATCCCATGCGACTTTTGCAAACTTCCCTCCCCATAAAAAAATTCTACAAATGGAAACGATTCTATCCAAAATAGCTTGGGGGACCGGAAAGACTTGGAGCCAAAACGATTGTACTCCTTGGATTACAGACCGAATTAGCTCAATCTTCCCAGCATAGGATATTGTTTTTGTGTTCCAAGCATTTAGGAAATCCTGGATCACTTCAATTAGAGGTGCATATTGTGCAACCGAGACCTTTAAGGGGGCAAGGGGGATTCCAAGGTATCTAACCGGGAACGTGCCTTGCCCATAGTCAACGAGGTCCAAGATGTTTTGTAATTCCAAATCCCTCACCCCTCCAACAAAGATGTTGGATTTGTCATGGTTTACCCTAAGCCCGGATACATCCCCAAACTCCTTGAGAGCATCAACCAGTATTCTTATGGAAAATGTGTCACCTCTCGAGAAGAGCATTAGGTCATCTGCATAGGCTAAATGCGTAATACCAAGAGACGAACATTGTGGGTGGAAATTGAAACTCCCCTGTTTAGTCCTCATTGTGAGGAGGCGAGAGAAATATTCGAGGCATAAGACAAAAAGCAAAGGGGACATTGGATCCCCTTGCCGTATGCCACGCTTGCCTTTAAAAAAACCATACAAAGAGCCATTTAAAGAGACCGAAAATGATGCAGTTGACACACATTCCATAATCCAACCTACAAATGTGGCCGGGAAACCCAGTCCCAATAGGACATTATGGAGAAAATCCCATGATATGGTGTCATAGGCCTTTCGCAAATCCACCATGATCATACACCTTGGTGAGATTCGCTTCCTATTGTATCCTCTAACAAGTTCCTGGGCTAGGAAAATGTTATCAAACATTAGGCGGTCATCGACAAAAGCACCTTGTGCTTCATTAATCAAACCCGGTAGGGTAGGGACAATTCTCGCCGCTAGTATCTTCGTAATAATTTTGTACAACACATTCATGCAAGAAATGGGTCTATAGTCTGAGACCCTAGGGGAGTGACTAGACTTGGGAATTAATGCTATCACGGTATGGTTTAACTGTTTAAGCAAGTTCCCCGAGTTAAAAAACTCCTTGGTCGCACTGGTCACATCCCCCCCCCACAATATTCCAATTTTTCTTAAAAAAGGCCGAGGAATAACCGTCCGGCCCCGGTGCCTTATCATCCCCAATATCAAACAAAGCATCTTTAATTTCTTTGTCCGTTATCGGAGATAATAGGCTATCATGAACATCTTGTTCAATCAAGGGGCCGGTTCCAAGTACCGATTGGTCAAGGGAGATGGTTTCCATCTCGGTTCCAAATAAATCAACAAAGTATTTAACAAATTCGTTTCCAACATGGTCAATACACGTAGTAAGGCTGCCATTTTCCAACATAACAGAGGTGATAGTGTTCTTGGCCCTGTTCCTGTTGACAATAGCATGAAAATATCTTGTGCCCTTATCGGATTCAAGAAGATGCGTAGCCTTTGCACGCTGTTGGAAGAAGCTACATTCGGCCTCTCCTAGAAAGGTGGCCTTCTTTCTCGCCTCACACACTTGCTCCATGAGCTCGGCATCATCAGGTGAGGCAAGCAGTAGCTTATTAAGTCTTTTAAATTCAACCTTCGCATTCTTTGCCTTAGTAGAAATGTGGCCAAATTCCAAATTGTTTAAATTCTTAAGAGGCTGTTTAAGCATCTTAAGTTTCCTTGCAATTTGAAATTGGGCCGAACCATGAATATATACATTCCAATTCTGCACAAGAATGTTAGTAAAGTCCAAATGCTTCAACCACATGTTATAAAACTTAAAAGCTTTCGGCCTTTGAGAGGGATTACCGAGTATAGACACCACGGAGGCCGTGTGGTCAAACTCAACCTCCATTTCCGCGAAATGGGCCTTGCATTGGATTCCCAATTGAGCCCACGTCTCATTGAGTAACACCCGGTCCAGTTTTGCCCAGCGTGATCCCTTATTCCACGTAAAGAATTCCCCCGTGGATGGGGCATCATTAAGGCAAGCTTGGACCTTGAAATCAACCAAATCCTTTAGGAGATAGTTTGCGGGTGTAGGTGAGCCCAACCTTTCATTTGGAGAACAAACACAATTAAAATCACCCGCGATAAACCAGGGGTCCTTAATTTGGTCCCCAAGTATCGCTAGGTGCTCCCATAAGGCCCTTCGTTGCAAAACCGTGTAGAGAGAATAAATAAATGTAGCAAAGAAAACAGTTTGCGACGTTCGGCATAGGCATTGGAAGTGTATGTGTTGTTCCCCCATTTCAATCAACGTACACGAAATTAAATTGGGGTTCCAAAGAACAAGTATTCGCCCCCCTTCAATAAAATCATGATTAGTTTTAAATAACCAACCCGGCCATTTATTAGAAACATAATTAGCAATGTTAGTTTTTGCCATTTTTGTTTCTAAAAGGCCACATAAGCAAACATTATTTGATTTAATAAAATTCGAAATAGTAGGGTGTTTGGAAGGCTTTTTCAAACCTCTCACGTTCCACGAGGCAGCTCTAATCATTGGAGACATCATGGTTGGAGGTGCGGTCTACCTCCGGCTCCACCTCTTCCTCTTCCCCCTTTCCTTTTCTTTTCTCTTCCTCTATTCTTGCTCGAGCCGCCATATTCTCTTCACTGTCATCATCAAAGAAAGCCACAACCTTAGGAATAAAAAGTGAAGTGTCAAAAGAGTACCATGATCCTTTACGCTTTACTCCCGGAAGTTCACGTAGGCAATCAAGGGTGAAAGTCATGCCGGGGTCTTCCAACTTGGCCTTCTTGAAATCCGAACCCACTCGGTAGATTGGCATGCTAAACGGGAGCATTTCCCTCTTCCCCGCATACACAGTTCTATGGCCATCTTCATCAAACTCCATACTTGTGATCACATCCTCATCATCCAGTTCATACACACTATGGACCAACCGCTCTCCCCAATCCTTGTATGGCTTTTTCCTAACATAAACCGGGTCCCGCCTTTGAGCCGCGGCCCTTGCCTTAGCTTGCCTTTCCGCACTAATCTTTGCCTCACCTTCTAGTGCACGGGCCATTTCTTGTGCATATTCCAAATTATGGCTAGCTTCAAAGTCAAAGAAAGACACAATGTTAGGAATAAAAATTTCTTTATTAAATTCATACCACTTTTTGGCACGCTTTACATCCGGTAGTGCCACCAAGCAAGAGTCCGTGAACGAGATAGCCGGGGAATCCTCTTGAGCCTCCTCTAGCGTATGAACATCAAGCTTAGCAATGGGGGGATTCCCTTTGATTTGGTGCCTTTTCTTGACAAATACAACTCTTGCTCCATCCTTTTCGGTCACAAAGTCAACCACAATGTCATCCGGGTACATTTGGTGCACACTCTCGATTCTTCTTCCCCTCCAAATAACCTCCTTACCGGGATTTTTCTTTGGCACAAAGGGGGCAGCGGGCTGCTTTGGCATGGTGGCAGCCGGGTTCTTTGTTGTCAAAGATGACACTACATTTTTGTTCTTCTTAGGTAACACCAATTTGAAGAGGGGCTCCTCGGGTTCCACATATGTAATCATCTTAGGTTTTTCTTTCTCTCTTGGAGTGTCTTTGGAAGTAGTCACCTCTTCCTTGTCCATCTCCTTGAGTTCCGGATGAAGAACTTTGCAAATGAAAGGGTCATGGCCGTATGATTTGCATTCATAGCAATAATTGGGGTAAGCTTCATATTTCACAAATTGGGTCCTCTTTTTCCCGGATGGTTGAATCATAGGGATTTGAAGGACCGGGGGTTTCGACAGGTCCACCTCCACAAGAACCCTAGCAAAGTTGGGCCTTGTTTTGTTGAGAGTAACTTGGTCCGCCACAATTGGTACTCCAACACGCGATGCAAGCTCACTTATCTCCTCCTTGTTCCATAAAGTGACCGAGAGCCCGGGTAGTTTAACCCAAATCGGGACTTTAAGAAACTCTTCATCATCAACCTCAAAATCATCGGATAGGACCTTTAGGAAAAGAGCCTTTCCATAAGATGAGTAAGGCCCTCCGGAAATGATTTTGGTTCGGTCCTCTTCATTTTTAAATTGAAAGATGATCCATCCCTTGTCATGTTGTTTCAATTTGCAAGGAACACCCCATTTCTTGATTAGTTCAAGCACTGCTTTGAACCCGGGGAACCTCCCGGAGAAAATCCCCACCAAGCAATAGCCCCATATATCAATTATGGAGGGCACCTTTCGGTTTGAAAAATCAACGATATCTCCCTTTGGCGGGATATACTCAAGTTTCATTCCATGGGAAATAGACCGATTGTTTTGAAACAAGTTGGCCCACTCCTTCTTTTCCACTTTGTCCTCCTTTGATGTAGCATCATGACTGGCCTCGGAATAAGTATCACTGGATCCAAGAGTCACCGAATCATCTTCTACCAACCCCTTCTTCTTTTGAGAAACAATGTCAACTTCTTCGGATGAAGAGGTCATTGGCTTCACAAGAGAAATCTCCTTAGAGGATTCCACCTTTGAATGTGGAGGGTTGATAGTAAGACTAGGAGCAATTTTGGGAATATAAGGCACACCACCTTGGACACCCATCTTCTTTTTCTCCTCAAGTTCCTTCTTCTTTTCATTTAGTAGTTTGATCCTCGCATCAAAGGTGCTATCCTTTGGAGGGGGGGTGCGGTTTTTCTTGTTGTTCTTTGTCATTATCAGCAGCTCATGGCCCAGGTATAAGTCTACCTGAAATGTTAGCACCAAAGCAAACACACAACCAAAAGGCAAGCAGTAGCAACGAACCCAATCAGCCCACCCAAAACAACTCCAAAAATTATGAAAATACTCACACACAACCCCCTTGAAGAGAGGAACACACCAGTGTAAGCCTTAACACCAAAGGACCAGTATGGAATCCAGAAAAAATTCCTAACTAGTCCCAGGCGTGCAGGATTTACTGTAGCGAGCAGTTCCAGGAAAGGGGGAGATGAATAGTATCCTCGAAAATTGGAGTTATGCCAAAAATTCTGAGAAAAATATATTTTGTTCCCCAGATAGCAGCAAGCACAACACAAGAAGTAGCAACCCAAATGGACAAGTAATTAATGCAGGAAAATTCACAAAGTAAAATAACCTGCGAGTTAGCTACAGTGTCCAAGAAATTTGGGGGAAGATGAAATCTCACCCAAATTTGACAAAACCGGTGTTGTTAAGCTCGCCTTGCTCAGATGAATCCAAAACAGGCTTCAGATTTGAAATTGAACGATAGAGTTTGGAGAAATCTGGAAGTCAACGTTCGTTGTGAACAGTACACCGCCCCAACGGATCTCTGGTAATTCCGGTACGGCGGCGAGTGGCGGTTGGAGCCCGGGTGCCGGAGGTTCGCCAGAGGCCGGCGACCCCCAAGCAAGTTTCCTTTTCCACCAACAACCGTCAGATTATAGATCCAAGCTCACTTTCTATTTCGGGTATGAACAGTAGATCCGCGAACTGGAATTTCCAAAATCGTCTATCTCCTCTCAAAAAATCAATCTCTTTCAAAACCAGTCGGTGGAAGTGAAAGGGAATCGGTTTTCGAGTTAGAGAAACAAAGATTTTCAGGGATTAATTCGTGGGATTAAGCATGAAAGAGCAAGGAAGTAACGAGCAACCTAAGAAGGTCCGAAACTTTTGAAGGTCCGTGACTTTCTTAGAGAGAAGCTAGAGCGTAATTCTCAACTCGCCAACATGTTGATAACTTGATGGGGCAGTGTGTTGAGAGCCTGAGAGCCAATCATAAAACCAGATACAAATTTATGGTATTATAATAATAATTTAACTTTACTCTAATGCTCCAAATACATAATTTTTTTACGTGCATAAGGAGAAACATCACCGATGGATACAATAAGAGAGAGCCTTTGATTAATGATCTATGAGTATTCAAAAATGGATCATATATGACTAGGTGTATAAGTATTCAAAAAGGGAGATTATTTTATATCGGAGTGTAGCTTATAAAGATCGGTTCGTAGCAATAACAAAAAATTAATTGATGTCCTCAAAAAGCATTTATTAAGTTATCAGCTGATTGTAAACAGTCACTTCATCAAACACCATTTTACAATCGCTACTACTATCAACTAATTAAAACAGCGAACAGAATTCATTGTCATCAATCAGCCAACACAATCAGCCAACCGCCATAACTAATAACCATTTTCCAAACACCCCCATTATCATGTATATATGATGAAATGGACATGTGATGTGACAAGTAAAATGATATGGAAATTGAATTTAACTTGGGTGCTGACATGACACGATGACAAGAAAAAAATACCCTTGGGAAATTAGTTTCAAAATACCCACTTTGGGAAATAAGATTAGAAAATACTTTGGGAAAAAAGTCAAATTTTTCTACAAAGTAGAAAGTTATAAGGAGTATAAAAAAGGTAGATTCTATGGTACCCATAAGGTACTATACCTTTGTCCACATGGACCAATGAGAATGTTGCAGTTGAATTATTTAAATCTAAATTAAAAATGATAAAATGATGTGATCCAATCAAATGAATGGTAGGTACGGTACCCCGTTTTTTTTAAAGGTACGGGAGTTGTCACCTATAAAAAATTGAATGACGTAATAAAATTGCATATGTATTTCACAAGTTTCAATGAGACAACGATTGAGGAACCGTAATTAAAACAATGTCACAACATAATGGTCTAGTGTGAAAAAACCATAAAATCGATAAACATATACGGAGTATAATGTTGTTGGTTCGATTTGTTGTCATAATGAAGCGTGCAAAGGTTTGAGAATGATGAAGAACCATTTTGACCAGCCACTTGACCAACAACAATAACATCTTCTTATGGGATTGGCAATTCACGATTCTATGTCCCTTCATTGAAATTTCTCAGCCTTTCAAGCTCCATCGCAACTTCCTTCATCGTAGGCCTATGTTTGCCATTCAAGTTAACACATTCCACTGCAAGCTCTGCAACTCTCTCCACTTGCCCCAATGATGCTTCCTTCAAAACACGTTTATCCAGAATGTTAAGTAAATTATTCTTTTCCATGGATCTGACAAAGTATGCTGCCAAATTCATGTCATCCTCACCTCTTTCACTTGAAATCAGTTTCAATCCAGTCAGAAGCTCACATATAACTACTCCAAAACTATAGACATCGCTCTTTTCAGTCAACTGACATGTTTGAAAGTATTCCGGGTCCAAATACCCGAGCGTCCCTTGGGCCAAAGTGGCTATGTGGGTTTGGTCCAAAGACATTAATCTGGACGCGCCAAAATCAGAAACTTTTGCGATGTAATTATCGTCTAGTAATATATTCGACAATTTTACATCTCGATGGTATATAGGTATTGCGGCCGATGAATGGAGGTAGGCGAGTGCGCCGGCGGTTTCCGCGGCTATTCTTAATCGCATCTCCCATGAAAGCCAATCGGAGCTACCACCAAGTTTGTGTATGTGTTCGTAGAGAGTGCCATTGGAGACGTATTCGTAGACCAACACCGGAACTTCGACCTCCAGACAACAGCCTATGAGTTTGACCACATTCCGGTGGTTGACCTGAGTGAGGATGACCACCTCATTGATGAATTCTTTGATTTTGCTCTCGTCCATGGTTTTGGATTTCTTGATGGCTACTACGCGATTATCATGTAGTATGCCCTTGTAAACGATGCCGTTTCCTCCACGACCGAGTTCACGGTCACGTGAGTAGTCGTTTGTGGCTCTTTTCAACTCCTTGGCGGTGAAAATTTTTGCAGCATCTACTCTGGCACCATCTGCTATGGCTGTTATTCTTTCTTTCAAGATTAAACCGCCATTTTGTTGGAAGAATTTCTCTCGAAGTTTTACGAGCCTTCTTTTTTTGAAGAAGAAATATATCAATGTTACTCCAGCAACCAACGACAAAAAGCTTATCCCAAAACCTAGTGAGACAAAATAAAAAATATTGTTACCGATTTAATTATTCTCCGTCCCTTAAAACATTGGCATTTTTGAGTTTTTTTGTCAATCAAGTTAAAATGTGACCAATGATATATTTTAATAGGAAATGATTTGTATAATAAAAATTATATATAAATGTTATTTGTTGAAAATAATTACACAAATATTAAATTTATATTTCATATAATTATATCAATCATTGACCAAAATTTATTATTATTGACTTGAGAAGTCAAAGATGACAAAATTTTTCATTATAATCTAACTAAGCAAACACTTTCCACCTACCGGTTTTCGCAAATAGAGTGTCATTGTTTTTTTTCAATGATAGCATGTTATGGAGTAATATATTACATAATATGTGGTATATTATCCTAAATAGGATTATATTGTCAATGTTGTCTTCCTGAAAAAGGAGTTATTTATTCCTATTTTGGGAAGTTATAATATTTTTTTTATAGAATTAAATAAATCTTATTTTGAAAACCAAACATATTTAGTTCTATTTTTTAACTTTATCCATATTTTACCCTTTTATTACAAAGTTCGTTTCTGGCCGGTGTTTACTATAATTTCTTACTTTATCAAATTGGTAATGTATTTTTCTTTTTCTTTTTCGAAAGAGAGTATATTAAACCATTTTAATACCATAAAGCATAAACTTTGACAAAAATTTTCACTTAAATTAACTCAAAAGTAACATCGAAGGAATAACTACATTTACACTATTTAGGCATCCTTCGAAATACTCCGTATATTATTTCTCCGTCATAAATTGACATGCTTATATACGACACTGCCGTGATAAAGTCATGCAAAAGTTAATCAAATTTGTCATCATATATATAGCCACGTACACAAGATAACATTGTAAGAATAGATAAATCACATAGTTACATCGACATAATTAGATTAACATATAGTTTGATAACTAACACTTCAATTTAATTAACAGTAGATCAATTAATTAGCTAGACACTTAATCTAACCTTTTCACTAGACTTATATGTAAGGACGGATCTAGGATTTAATGTCGATGGAGATTGTTTTTGTAGTACTAGGGCTCTGTGTATATTTTATTCAAAAAAATATTTACGTTACAATATAATTAACATTTAAACAATAAATTTTATAATTGAAGTGCTCTAGAAAAATAATCAGTAAATTAAAGCCTCAAAAATGGAAAGTCAAAGGAAAATTATTTCATAGTAAAAACGGTTAGAGGTTTATCAAATTATTTGAAGATTTTTTTGTTTAAATCTTAACAGGATAAAGAACCAAATTGCACTTTTTGTTCACACGGATGAGTATAATTCACGTGAATCTTTTTAATATAAAAAAGTATGAATGAGATTATTTATTTTTAGAATATTATTTTGTTGCTAATTCATATATATAGTTGGTACATATTATGTTTGTATAAATAGTACAATAGATTAAACTTTATTAGTCATATGCAATAAATTCTTTTAATCAAGTCAAAACTAAATAAATTGTATTTTATTTTTAATGTCACACTAAAATTTATATTTTGGATTCACCTCACATTATTTGAAATCTATTTAACTAGTGTGCATAATATATATAGTATTGGTTGATGTTTTACAAAGTCAAGTACTAAATACTCTGTATCTAATAAAGATAAATTAAATATTATAAAATTAGGATATGTCTATAGACTAAGTACCTTGAGTGTTAAACCAATGAATTTTTCTATTAGTTAAGGGACAAGGTACAAATATATATTTGATCTGTAGCTCTAGCTGCAGACATATGCCCCTTACTTTTTTAAAGGTGCATATATAAATGTCCTTAAACTTCATATTTTAGAGAAAATTTACTTTTATTGATTTTAAATAAATTATTATTTTTTAAATATCAAAACTAAATTAATGAATATATTGAGTCTAAAGATTGAAAAAAATAAGAAATTAAACTATTTTGTGTTAAATGCTTCGTTTTAATATTTTGGTATCAATTTAATAATGTTAACATAAAAGAAATATTTTTCAAATTTAACAGTTACTTATGGTTTTTTCCTCAAAGTATAAAAAATATGCTAAATATTTAAAATATTACAAATTCATTGTTTATTCAAAGCTTCCTTTTATCATAATAGTATGAAAATTTGATATAAAATAATGAAGAAGCATTGAACACAATACGTATTTCAAATTTTTTTAATTTTCATTTTCCGAACCCGATATATTAAATATTTTTTTTTATTTCAAGTTAATAAGGATATTTTAACGAACCCTTAAGGGTATATTTGCACCTGAAGGTAAACATTAATGGTGTATTCGTACATTACCCCTTTATTTATTCATGTAAGAATAAATTATTTTAAATTTTTCCCGTTTTACATCTCCTCTGTCCCGCTATGATTGTCTCATCATTCCTGTTTGATCTGTCCCACTAAGATTTATTATACATTTCTATAATTGTCCAAACCAGACATTGGTTTTTAATAAATAGTTCTAGGATCTTTCAAAAAAATAGATCAAGGAAATAGTTAAAGTATTAACAATATTTTATGATTGAAATACGGAATATTTTTGTAAAATGCAGGGTGACATGGTCATAAAATTTATTTTGAACGATGGTCTCACATTTTTTTTTGAGGAAGGTGGTCTCACAAAATTAGAAAGTGATATTATTTGGTGTTCTTTTTTATACAAGCAAATTAATTTATTTCATTAGTAGTTAGTTGAGTACAATCAGAGAAATACGGTACTTTAAAACTTAGAAAATAGGGAGATATCACGGTAAACATGGTAATTAAAAGACCATTACATTAGTCTTTGATACAATATTTAAAGGAAAAATAATAAAGGTAATGAATAGTGTAGAAAAACTAGAGGAAAGTGGGAAAAATATGAAAGAAAAAATAAAAAGTGAAAAATGTGAAGATAATTGATTATTTTTGAAGAAAAGTTTAACCGAAAAGGAAAATGTGGTAAAATTTCAAATACCACGTACTTGGTATATGTTAAATAGAAGAGGGGTATGAATGAAGTACTTACCACACGCAAATTTGATCCAGCTGGGGAAATCCGACTTCTTAGGTGGAACTGGTGGAAGACAACCAACCCCACCATTAATTTTCTTTTTACCATCGCCTACAATCTGATACCCATCCGGACAAGAGCATGTATAGCTTCCAGGCGTGTTTGTACAGTTCATTTCACATTGATGCTCATGATTTGGATCTGTACACTCGTCAATATCTACCAAAAAAACTCAACCATTATTGACTTGAATAAACGGAAGAATTGAATAATATTCATATTTTCCTTCTAAAAGGGAAACCCGGCCCAATTACTACTACGTAGTACTACCTCCGTCCCAGAATTATCTTCATAGTTCGGTTTACGATGTTTGACTGACGATAAAGCAACTTGATCCATGTTCACACTCGAATTATTTTTAGTAAATAAAATTTACATATTCAGAAACTACATTAAAACCGCTACAAAGCCTGATTAAGAAAATTTGAATTTGATAAAAATTTGATATATAAAGTAAAAGATTAAGAGTAATTTGAGTTGACCATGTGAATAGTAACTATGAAGATAATTTTGGGACGGAGGGAGTATTATTCAACTATATGACTATATATGGATAATGGATATGTATGATAGAAATGTGAATCAATCTCATCATAGTAGTACGTAATTATACAAGTGACCATGAATGTTTTACTTTTACATAATTAAAAGTCTGACTACTTTTGATAACTTTGCATTACTTTTACCTATTTTCTTTTATTTTTTCCTACTTTTTCAACATTTTCCCTACATTTTAATCTAGTAGATATCTTCGACTTTCTACACTTCTTTATAGTGTTCATTTCCAAATGTCCTTCAATTTTTATTGAAAAAATGGCTCATCTATCACTACTACACTTTCCATTTCCAAAAAAAAACAACTTTTACATTTCTCAAAAATGTGACCCGTATCCCTGCCCATCTTCTCCATCGAACATCAACGCAGCGCCATCCTCGCTCCATCCTCCCTCCCAACAATCCTTCTACGCGCGCTTCTCTGTGACATGTTCATCTCCGAACGCTTCAAATCCTTCTGCCGCCACAACACTTCCACCGCCACAGCACTTCCACTGCGCGCCCTCAGGCCTCAGCCACTGCTCTGCATCCTCCGTCACTGGGTCTCTTCCTCGCCGGTCGTCTTTCTTCATTGTTGTCCATTCTTCATCGATGTCCAAGGTTTGTGACTGTTTCTCTTCCCCCTCTTGTTATCACTATCTTCTGGCGAGGATTGATCAATTTCGGTAAAATGCAGATGAAGCTAAGGTTTGATGAATTCCAGATCGATTTGTGGTGCTCGACCAACTAGCGACATTGGTTTCAGATCTGATCTGTCGAGGTAGTGGCCGCTAGGTTTCAGATTTTCTGGAGCGGTGTTTGCTTGGTCTCAGATCTGCCAGAGGCGGTGGCAGTGGTTGGGCATGGGAATGTGCAGGCATGGTCGGAGCAATTGGGGGGCTGCGGTGGTTCATGGTTGAGGCGAGGGTTGTTGGGTATACAGCTGCATTTGTGGTCTTAAGTCACTGGTCGGAGGCGGCGGCAGTCACTGACGGTGGTGGTCTCAGTTACTGTGGCCGGAGTAACTTCTACTGCAGTCACCATGGCCGGAGACACAGTGTCACTGTGAGTGGGCAGTCAATGTGGCGATGGGGCAGTCACTGTGGCCGGCGGGGTAGTCACTGTGGCCGGCGGGGCAGTCACTGTGGCGGTGGGGCGGTCACTTGGTCGGAGTCACTTTGAATTGCAGGGGCTAATTTGTTGTTGGTCACATTTTCGGATTTTTTAAAAATGTTTCACTTTTTTGTCTTTTATCCTATTTTTTGTAATATCCTGGCCAAAAGGCCATTTCTATTAGAAATAATTACATATTCATAAGTCATAACCGAAATAAAAATTATTTACAAGAATGCGACCTTTTAAGTGCGATAACTATACACATAAAAACTTATATTTATGTTAAAACTTAAGTGACTATGACACTACTATACTGAGTTTTGCTAAAGGTACGTACACAAAATGTGTACACAAAATGTGTACACAAAATGTGTATACATGTCTGTCCTTCACAGAAATTTTGTCTGTCACAAACAACCCATTATGAGTTGTCTGTG